TCAGATTTTAGACTAGGAGCTGCCATCGTGAACAAGATCTAGATGGTGCCCAGCTCAGGGGCTCCAAAGAATGCTGTAAGAACATGGCAGCAGATCATCACGGGGAAATCCTTTTCTGTATCGTGCCTCATCTTGACCTCGAACAGGTATCAGTATGATCCTCAGGGCCCTACATTTAATAGGTCTTTTGAAGTCTTGTTACCATGAGCTACAGCAGCTCTGGAGAGCCTTGGCATATAATGCTTTGTTGCAGAGCTATCAGAAGCATCTTCTAAAATAATTTGCTTAGGGCCAGTAGGGGTTGGATATTTCAACGCAGAAGCTTCCTGATTATGAACTGTGGATCTTAAAAGAGATTTTTAACAAGGTTTTTGTCTGGCAGCTGCATTTACTATGCATTGGCTGGTACAATAGGAAACTTCAAGTCTGTACATGAAAATACATTGAAAATTATTAGTCTTTTACAGCGTACTGATAAGCAAGAAAGTGGACTGCTCTGTGAAGGCCTATATTTATAATTTTTCCACAGTTTTTATTAGTTTGCGGAGGCCAACAAGGTTTCCAGCTCTGAGATTACAAAACCTTCTTAAATTTGCTCCTTTGAATCCTTTGCTAGTTTTTTGTGAATTTGTGTCGTAAGTGATCTTACAGATCTCCTAAGTCTGTCATGGTGAGGGCATCATTTGGCCAGGGGAGGGGGCAGATGTCATGAGATGTGAAAATGGGATCGAGTTTGCTACTTCCACTTGCCAGAGGTCTGATTTTGATGGAAGCGCTCGGGAAATGCAGGAAGGATTCACTTGTAAGGCCCGATCTGTAGGGTTGGGGTTATACGATGAACTCTAAAGAGGAACGCGTGTGCTATTAGGAAACAGCGATGCAGAGCCGGTGTCTGATCCTATGGGTCTGGGAAACATCTAGCCAGGTGGGAGCTAAGAACTGAGTCCAGACTTCAGGACCGCGTGCCTTTGCTGTAGACTTGGACTTCATCCCTGATTTCTTCCCCCAAGCTCTAATGAAAATCAAAGTAGTATTCTCTCCTGGTGGCCCTTCAGCTGGGAGCCCGGTGGTGCAGGGACTGTACAGCACCTTGCGCAATGCGGCTCCCCCTTTCCTTCCAATCCCCCTCTGCTATTGTAATACACCAACTACGGTAACTGAATATTCATCGTTAGCCTCCAACAGACTTTAAATAGACCAATGACAGCTTTCCTCCTTGTAAATTCTTTCCCCAACCAACTTTTTTTTTCCTTCTAATTGTACAATTTTTTAATGCAAAAAAAATGTAGCCCATTAACACCCCCATGTAAAACTGTAACTCACATTCTGGCCCAGGAACAACAGTCTCTTCCTTGCCGTGTGGACAATTTCCTGTATTGCCAGTCTAAGTCAGACTGTAACGCTTTTTTTCCCCTCCCTACTTCACTGCAATTTTTTTGGACAGCAAAGTTCCTGGACACAACAGTCATTTTGTGCCAGCGATGCACAAAACCTTTCATTCCATTAAACAGTGGCCCAGGATTACAACCAGCGATTTTGGGAATAGCGACTTTTAGGCCCTGAAAAAAAACGAATCTGATACGTTTTTAAAGACCGAAGGACAAACTAAAATGGTAGCTGTGCACAGTGCATATTGAGCGGGCTCAGGAAACAGTATAAATGTTTCAAGATGACTGTTGCTTTACAAGGTACCAAAGGGATCTCTTTATTAGAGCTCAGCCCCTAGAAGGAAGAAAAAGGTAGAAATACAGAGATAACTGCCTGTGTGTATAGGAAAATGGCAAAGTGAAAAAAAGAGAATATTTTAGATATTTAGTTAGAAAATACTTTCCTTCCTCTCCCTCCTCAAATAGTTGATTTTTTGGCAAAAATAGCACCCAACATGTTTTGACTGAAATGGAAATATTTCAGTCTGGAGAGAAGTCATTGCGATACCTGCTGGGAACTGCTGTTTGGAAACTTGGTGTCTCCAACCTGTTCCCTCTCCAGTGTGACTCCCAGCTCCCGTCGTGTCTCCTGCAGAGCACCACGGTCCTCTCTTACGGCCATGGATGCTGTCGTGTCCCCTGGGAAATGCAGTCTGAAAGGAATTTGGTCCCCAGTGCACAACGGGAGTGTGGGATCCTGACATCACCCATTCTGGCACTTCAGGGTAAAAATATTGCTGTTTCAGGCATACAGCTCCTTTATGGAAAGGAAATATTTTTTAACAAGAAAAAACAATCACGTTGTTAAATTTTCCCCTTCTCAGCTCTCCATTGAGACAGAAAAAGTGTAGATTTGAGTGAGAAGTATCTGGGATGGGGATGGCTTCTTAGTGTTTGCATGGTGCCTCACACGGTGAAGGTCTGATGTTGATGGGGTCCCTGTGAGCTACCCTGAGAATTTACTGTAAGAAACGCCCATGCAGATCTAATCCCATGTGTGAATGGGGAGAGGATGACACTCCCAAAGAGACATTCAGTTCTTCCCCCACCGAAGCAGGGAGACACTGTGACAGCAGTCATCTCTACATCCTCCAGAAGAGACACAGAGACCATGATGTGGCATCATGCCATGGTATGTCCCTCCTCTTCCTCCATCGTAGCTCTCAGGTACCCCACTGAAAAAAAAAGAAAAAAAAGAAAGAGGCTCTATCATTTCTTGGGGGGGATGGAGGGTGGTGGTGTTGGAGGTGAGGAAGAAGGAACAAGCCAATCCATGCAGCAGCCTCTCATTAGGAAGGAGAGCTAAGGGCAAGGTCCGCGTGTCACCTCCCTATGGCTTGTCTTCTTGGAAGGGAAACATGGTGGGGATGCAGCTTTGGGGTGTCGTGCTGGTACTATTTCCATAAGGATCCCTGTGTGAAGGCGGAGCACGACAGGAGCAGGCAGCTCAAAACCGGGAACTGGTAGGGCTGGGAGACCCTCTGGAACCTAGAAGGTTTGAAGGCCATAGCTCTTGGCCATAGCTTTTCTTCCTGAAAAGCCACCAAAGCTGGCCTCCAGCAAGAGCTCGTGGGGTGGAAATGCCAGTGCTGGGTGTCCACAGGCAGAGAGGTCCTCTGAAGCCCACCACATACACAAGACAGCCATGGATGCCGGGGTATCTGAGGGATAAGTCTCTGCTTCCTCCCAGTCCATCTCTCTTTTATTCCTCGTGTACATCCTGGACTTCAGTTCTGGGAAAAAGCTGCCTGGTCAGCCAGCCCAAGTGGGTGGAAAGCCATGCTCCTGTCGGCCCTGCGGGGAGGCGCTGGGCTTCCAGGGGAAGAAACCCCACCTTTGGAATAAGATCTGCTTGGCAAGCCACCAGTGCCCGGGGTTTGGAAAGCTTTTGTGGCACAATGAGACACATTTATTTGGTTTTGAGCTCCTGGGTGAGTTTCCCCTCCATTACAGCTCGGTTGCTGATGTTTCTGGCAGCCACCGGCAGTGGTTTGGATGAAAGCTCCCTGCTGTGAGTAGGTTTATATAATTGGCATTGTTAAATTTTGTAAATGAGTTCTGAGTTGCTACAGTGATAGGTCCTCTCTAAGGGGTGTAATTGGAGGTTCAGTGCTCCTCCTCCACGTGTAAGTGGCCAGGTGAGCTTGTTGATGGGATTTAAGGATGTGTCCTTGCTCCAGCATAATGATTTTGGGCAGGTGAGTAGGATACCTCAAAGCCAGCTTGGTCCAACGGTTATAGCCTCAAAGAAGAAGGCTTGTGTTGGAATCTGGGCTCTGGTTTGTGGCTGCTCTGAGCCTGGTGGCACTTTGCGAGGTGCTGCTGTACTACCTGATCTTTACACATTTTAGCAAGTCCTTGGGTTCAGAGAGCACCCAGCTGTCTTGGAGACAGCCCAGGAGGAGGCTGGCACCTCGCATGAAGTCTCCAATACCCCCTACTCAGCTTCAGTTCTTCCCCCTGCAGAGCAGGAATAACCTTGTCCAGCCATGTTGCTGATGTGCTTGGAGAAATGTCTTCAAAACGCACTGTAGGGTCTTGTAGGAGAGGAGATTTCCAGCCAGTGTTGGCAAAGCATCCCTGCTTGAAACCAGATTTCAGAGCAAAGGAACAAACCAGACTTTCCATCCGCGCTCACTCTCCCAGCCTGGCTCTGCTGAGGCATGTGGCTCTGGCGTGATTTATTGATTTCTCTTTTCTGAGCATTCTGGAGTGGAGCTTGTTCTCTGGTCCAGGGATCCCCCATCCAGGACAACTAGGCTGGCAGACCCTGGAGAGAATGAATGGGGACAACAACCATAAGGGGAAAAAATAGACCTAAATATTTAATCCATCTCCAAGTCAGCTTGGCAGAAATGAGGTTTTTATTTACACGCATGTGCACATCCACATATACAATATAAATACTGTATAATCTAGAAATGCTATCATAGTATGCAGATATAAATCTTGTGTATTTTGCTATAACTGCGTGTATCTGTTTGATGTGTGGGTGTAAAATAGCAGTTGTGGTGGAAGAGGCATGACTCTAAAGGGAAAGATACTAAAAGGAAAGTGAAATAGAAGAGAGTACTGCACCGATAAAGTGTGACGGGGCTGCAGTCTCCTGGGAGGGACGTCTCTGTTTCCCTGAAAGTCTAAACAAACACCACGACACTAATGTGCTGCCTGCATTTATTAATTCACTGATCTATTTATTAATTGATTGCTTTTCTGCCTTTTTTTTTTGTTTTGTTTCTTTGCTTTTAGTAAAGAGTACCCGGTTGTTCCCAGGAGCACAGTGAGACAAAAAGTGTCCTCGAATCACAGCCCCTTCAGTGGTGAGACCAGGGTCCTTTCTGCCTCCTCCAACCTGGGCTCCCAGTACCAGTGTGAGAACGGGGTGTCGAGCACCTCCCAGGACCTGCTACCGCCTGCCAACCCCTACCCGATCTCCCAGGAGCACAGCCAGATCTACCACTGCACCAAGAGAAAAGGTCAGGCCTTTGCTGCTCCCCGCTCAACGCTTGCTATGTGGCTTTCCCCTTCCTAACGTGACTGTCAGCGTTGTTTTCTGATGTTTCCCCTTGCCCACAGGCTGGACAGCCCCAGCCTGCTTTACGATGACACTTGAGGATGAGCAAGGGATGAGGGTTGTGCGCTGGAGGTGGGCAGTTCCCCCAGCCTGGGCTGGGAAACTCCTCTCACCGGTGTTAGCCAAAACCCCCATCTCTGCTGCTGGGCTGGGAGCGAGCTGTTTGGAGGGGTGGCAGTACCTTTCACCCACGTTGAATCCACATTCAGTAAGATAGCTGGTGCCGGAGATAAAGGTGACTTATCTGTCTCCATAGCCCCTCAGACAGGGTTAATCTCCAAGTGGAGATACCTTGACAGCTTGGATTTTGCACAGTTTTTGACTAAGAGTCTCACAGTTGGGAGACAGTTGTCTGTATCCAGAAAGCGATTCCACTTAAATGCTCAGTCTAATGAACGGGGCGTGGGATTGAAAATCATGATATCCATGTTTGTTCCCCTCTGGTGCGACTGACCTGCTTTGACAGAGCTTGAGGGATCAAACTGTGAGGGCTTCACACTGACTGCTCAGCTCGTCCTGGCGTGAAGAGCCCCACGATATCGATGGGATAATTGTTCTCAGACAGGAGCGAGCGGTTTGCAGTCTCTCCCTTCCTCTCCCAAAGCAATGGGAATGACGAGGTGCAGAAACACTTGCAGGACTCAGATAGCAAAAGCCTCAGATCAGCTCCACCCCAGACACTCAGAAGAAAATAGGGAATTTCCAGGGCTGAATGCAACCCTATGGGGTGGGCAGGAGATGGTTACTGCCTACCCCTGTTCCCTTTTCTCAGGATTTAGTCTGCGTTGCACAGGAAAAGCTAACAGGAGTCAGCATGCACCATGGCATTTGAATGCACCATCTCCAGCCCGATAGCCTCTCCCCACAGCAGATCCCTTCCTGCTTCCCTGCACGGTCCTATCAGTCAGCCATGTGTCATTATTTTTAGTAACGTAACCCCTGGGTCTCTGGGATGTGCAGTGTAGACACACAGCCTAAGGTAGCGGATGCTGGGAAGTGCTGGCAGATGAAGCAGGAGAGCAGTGGAAATCTCTCTCACATCCTTGGTGAATCCCGTGAAAGTTGTAACATCACGTGTGTTGTGTACAAGCATATATGCAAAACAAAAAAAGTTGATAAAAATTAATATTTTCCTGATGCCAGATTGAGCCAAACAGTGGAAAACAGAGGCATCATTTTCTGACCGCTCCAGCTGACCAGGCAACCCTCGTGCTCGTATGGAGTGTTTCAAAGCTGTGATTGGAAATGGTGATGCTAGACTTGAGCTAGCTGTAAGGTAGGGAATAAGGAATTGCAGTGGCCTCCCAGAGTGTCCCGTAAGGTCAGAGGTGGGGTGTGTGGCCCTTGTGACCCCCATGCTGGTGCGGGACTGTGGGTTGCGAGGCTTTGGGACGCAGCTGGGTTGCTGCAAAGCCCCGCTGTTGGCGATGGAAAGGCAGGTCCTCTTCGCCCTTGGCGTTCCTGAGCCTGCGATCCATCCTCGGTGCCCCTTTGCCCTGGGAGCTGAGCTTTCACCGCTCCTCTTCCCCTTTTCAAAAACTAACCAAAACAAGCTGGCCCAAATGGCAACAGACCCTTTGGACAATCTCTGACTGCTGCGTGTCCCCGCACCGCAGGGCAATTCATCATTCCCCTCCACATTGTAACGTGATAAGGAATCAACAGAGGTTTCCTTCCAGTTTTGGGATTCCCGTTAAGTGGTGTCTCCATGGGTGGTTTCCCTCAATCCCCCAATTATCTCACTTCCTCTTATTGTCACAAAAGAGACGACTATCTGCCCTGTAATAAGCTCCCCGGCCCCTTTTGGCCTGCGTGGCCCTTACGAAAGTGCAGGAGACTGGCAAAATGAGTCCTTCTCTGTAGGGCTGATGGCCCCTCATTATCTCTACGATGGCTTGAGTGGCACAAGCAGTTAAGGGCCTTTTATCAAAGCCGCCAAATGCTTTAATCAAAGAGAAGCAGTGTCCTGTCCGATACCACCGGCTTCTTCCGTGAAGCTGTGCGTCTCAGGAGCCTGAGTCCCTGCTTTCCTCCCTGTGCCTTTTTCCCCCTCCTCATGCATCCAGTAAATCGAAAACAGCCACCAGGGCTTAAAGGAAAGAAACACAAAGTTAATGGGAAACAGAGAGCCAACATGAGCTGCCAAGCAGCTCTTTGCAAAGTGAAATTAATTAAAAAAAAAAAGTCACTAGAGATGAGCAGCTCGGATAAATCAGAACGTGATCCAAGGTTTCGTCTCAAACTCAGACTGAGCGTGGCACTTTCTTCTAGCACCGAGCAAGGACCTTTATCGAACTTGGGACAATAACCTTACCTATAATATTCCTCTTTTCCTTCCTTTTCCAGCCTTTCCTTTCTAAGTGAAATACTAAGCTTTCCCTCACAGCTCTCCTGCTTTCCTACTTTTCTGTGTAACTTTTAACAAGCCTCATCGTCTAAGGAAACGTGAAAGCAAGAGCATGTTCACTCCTAATGCACCTCTGTCCATTTTCTGGACTGGAAGTATTATTGATTTCATCGGATCATCAACTCCTTAAACATTGACGACTCCTCAGTCGGTTTAGGATTTCTCTCAAGCAAATTATTTCCTTTTCTCAAGGCTGCGGTTATGGATAAGTGCTCGCAGGGGCAGAGGGCAATTCGACTGGGTTTGAGACCAGCTGGTGTCTGTATCTTCTGTAGCAAATACCACCACTGTTTTCCAAGATAGCCTCTCAGATACAGCTCCTTCCAGCTTTGACATCTCGTGATGTTTCTCTGTATCCTTTTTAATCAGGAGGTCAAGTCTCGGTTTAAGCTCAGTTAAGAATAGGTCTGTATTCGAGCAACTCAAAGGCACCTTATTCAACTTCTACTTCCTTGGTGACCTAAGACAAAGGTTTAGTTCTGTGGTTGACAGTGTTGTTCTTAGCTGTCAAGTCAAGATGGATTCACTCTGGAGATCTGATATGGAGTTACATTAGGGGAGCGCAGCAGGGCTGTGAGGGAATGTTATCTCTGAAGGCTCCTCTGTTTCAGGGAGCTGATGCTCTTCTGGGTGAGGAAGGAAGGGAGGACACATCCCAGAGCCCCAAATCTGGCAATTCCTGGTGCCCGGGTGAGAGTGCAGGGTTGCAGCGTTGGGAATGACCCCAGCGTGGTGCAGTGGGGTTGCTGCTCCAGGCGCCTTCTGAACATGCTGAAGGCTGGCGAATGGCAGTCCTCCAGGCGAGAATCATCCTGCGTTGTATCTCACCTCCACACTGATATTGTTTGTGGCATTTCACAAAGAGACTGGTCTTGAGAGGATGGATTAACTCAAATCCTGTATCCTACCAAGGAGTGGCCTCAGTTCTTGATGTGGATTTTTAGGCTGCAACAAAGACCGATTGGAGCTTTGCCTTTTTTCTGGTTGTTCTCCACCTCTCCCTCTCTCATTGTTGTGCTTGGAGAAGCCCAAAAGGACTTACCAGCAGGCAGCTTGCTTTCTGTCTTTCATTTTAGCCCCATGTCCCAGTTAGGGCATTGGGGCTTTTTTTCCCTTGTGTTATCCTACTCCCTCAGACTTCCTGTGAACTAAAAAGCCATCCCTCTAAACCTCTGCTCCCTCCCAGCCTTACACAATCTCAACCACTTGGCAGATTTCTGGTATGCTTGTGATGCTGAACAGGAGGCGACTGGAACAGCCTCTCCCTGGGGAGGTTATAAAAGTTGTCATGTTGGCACTCTGAGAAGAGGGACGTGGCAGAATCCACCGGCTCCAACCAGCAAGGATCATATCCTTCAGCCACCTAGCTTGGACATGACCCTGCCCGTGGGGAAGAATATATCTTTCACCTCCTTTCTGCTCTGCTGAGGTCGGTGGAGATACAGCAATGCCTTTCCCCCTTCTCCATGAGGACAGGCACTGTTGGGGTGGATAGACCTCTTCATTGATTGAACTGATTTCGCCCTCATCCCACCCGGCTTTTATTTCACTCAAAGAATCTGTAGGACAAAAGTCAGGTATGGGGTGTCTTCTTGGAGGTCGTGCTGCTCGTCCTGCTGATGTTAGGAGATGTAATGAGTTGGCCAAGGCTTGAGCTGTGCTGCAGCCGGAGGCGTTTGCAGCTTGGGCAGATGCAGCGGAGCCCAGAGCAAGGTGGCTGGTGGGTGAAGAAGAGCCTGTCTGCATAGCGGGGAGATACGCAGGGGGCTGGTGTGCACCCAGCTTTTGCTGCGCAGCCACGTTGCTTGCGGCGCTGTAGTTTCAGCAGCTTCATATGAGCATCCCGCTCGCCCATCGGGAGGTGCCCCCTGTGTCTCTGCAGGCAGTGCTGGCAACTCCCTGCCCGGGGAAGAGGTTCCAGCTTTTGGTGTTGGATTGCCTCTGGCCCACAACCCTTTCTGTCGTGTTCCCCTGCAGTGCAACACCGCCATATCGCAAACCGTGCGATTGCTGAAATAGCTAGCATGTCTTAGGTTTCACGTCCTAGGACGTACGTCTGCTTTGCCCTTTAGGGATGCTGATTTTGACCGAATATCCCTTTTTCTTTTCTTCTTTGACAACCCTTGTCAGTTTTGCACACTGTGATTGGCTGTTCAGGCTCATGCTAGATTCATACCAGAAACCAGACTGGATAAAACAACAGTGTTAGTGATAATCACCCATTGTGTCTTCCTCACAAAGTCGGGATGAACCTACTGTAATGCCCTGGAAGTGTGGGTGAGCTTTAAAAACTAAAACAGTTGGGTCCCATTCTTCATTGTCTTCTGTCCCGGGGAGCTGATTGTCATGAATTGGAAAGGAGCTCTCCTGGTTTTACACCAGGGGAAGAGGTGGGCCCAGTGCACCCTGAAGTCCAGAGATTTTACATGTTTGCATTTCATTCTGGATGGCCCTAATCTTGGAATTGGGAAAATTCCATTTAAAAAGCCATTTGTGTGGTATTTACAACCCAGCTGGAAGTAGTAAATACCGGAAATCTTGGAACTGCTTATGCTCTCACTCAAGCTCCTTCATTAGATAGATCATCAAATTCCTTGTGAGGGAGCCAGTTTCCACCCCATTCTGCAGGCTCCGTTTTCCTTGGATCCACTTCGGAGCAGTTTCTCCCAAGCGTTGGCAGCTTCCCCTGCTTGGCAGAACCTTTTGCTTTTTGAGGTTTGCGCAGTATCGAGGGGCTGGTCACAAGAGCTGATCGCCACTCTTGGCTTCCAAGAATAGCAACAAATGTGGAGGATGGTCAGCATCTCCCAGAGGTGCCCAGCACCTCCTAGGGCTCGGTGACAACAGGAAAAGGACAATGAAGTGCTGTCAGGGAACCAACATCAAGAACCAAACCCAGAGCTGACCAGACAGTTATCTCCTATGTCCTGCTTACGCTGATGCTGACGAGGTGAGAGGACCTTCAGGAAGAGGATTATGGCCTTGGGACACTGTCCAGGCTCCAGAGCAGGTGGGGATGACTTCAAACTGCAGCCTTCAGCATAGCCTGAGAGCTCTGTTTGACTTGTTCTCCTTTTGCTATTCTCTTACTTGAAGATGTCCCCTTCCCACCCCCAGATTTGCTCTGCACGCCATGGGGATGCGCTTCACCTGCTCTGTGCCGGCTCCGGTCTCCTCTCTGAGGAGTGGTGGGACAATGCCAGGTCAGACTAGAGAGCCTGGACCAGGGTAAATTCATCAGCTAGCACCAGCTGAGGATCTCTGGACTGCACCATCCCATCTGATGATGAAGATGGACTGTTCTCTTCCCTCTCCAGCACTTTGAGGTTACATAGATGGGAAAAATCATCAGGAGGAGGGGCCAGAGAGCAGGCAGAAGCCGTTAGGGTAGGCTGTAATCCTTTGTTAGCGACTATGTCTTCTTCGGAGATGGGTCCGGTGTCCTTACACATCTTAAAATCCGGAGTGATGGTGCCCTTTCCACATACGACATCAGTAAGCCTGGCTCTAGAGAGGCCAGCAGAGCGATCCCGAGAGCCTACAGAAGAAGAGCTGGCACCTATAGGGTTTCCACTGAAATGCTGGCTGGTTTTGTTTTTCTCTCTTCACCTGCGATGAATTCTGGAAGCGGATCCGTAACTGCGGCTCTGCCCGGCTGGGCTGTGGCAGGCAGCGAAACGTCTGGGCTAAATGGAAAAATCAGCAACCTCAGGTTGTAAGTCAGGCGCGTTTTTACACAACGGAAAAACAGAGTTTGGCTGTTTTGTGTTGTATATTGAAAAAAATAAAAATAAAGTAAACAGTCAAACCCCAAGCCAATGATTTCCAATGCCAGCAGAGTAACGCGGTTGAATGCTGAAAACTCTATTAGCAGAACAATGCTTCATTTTACAAGACATTGTTTTTCCACCCTGGTGTTCTTATTACTCAGTGGTGGGTTAGGGATCCAAAACTTTTAGGCTGCCTGTAAAAGCGAGAGCTCAGGCTGTTCTTCCAGATGTACCTAACCCGTGCTCAGGAGGGAGCTCAGACCTGTGCTTCCAGCTTTTGTCTTTCAGGGGACTACATCCTCTCCACCGCTCCTATCTAAAACGCACCCGATCAGGATTGAGGAGAGCGATACAGTTTTGCATCGATCTGCTTACTGTTTCAGCTATTTTAAAGATGTGATTGCGTGGCTTGCTTGCCCCATCCTACTTTCTACCATTTAAGAGAAGGCAGAGGAGGAAGATAACTTGCTTATCAGGGCTCTGCATTGCTGGGACTAAGGAGCCAGGTTTTGCTCTGGTCAGGGAGAAAGCGTGAAATGGGACTGTGCCTCTCCAGGTGAATTTACGGGCAGCTGCTATTACAAAGTCAAAGGACACCAAGGGGCAAGTCCCCATGGGGTGTACCTCAGTACCTGATGTTTTCTGGGGTTGTCAGGACGAGGAGACTAACAACAGTTGTTCCAGCTGGACTTGGTAGACACCTGAGTGGCAGTAATGGGTTATTTTACAAGCAGGGCGGGTGCAGCTTCCGAGGAGAAAGCGCGTGGCTGTTGATAGTAATAAGGGTATGTGCACGTGCATGTTTACAAGAAACAAAAGTTGCCTGCGCTGCCCATCTGCACCTCCTGAAGGTGAGGCGTGGGCACTCACGTTGGAGCAGCCCAGCAGCGACACCTGTGTTTTTGCAAGTGCTTCTTGGGGGGCAGATGCTTTTAGTCCTCTTTTTTGTGGAAGTGGATTTTTTTCCTTTGTATTTCGGGGGTGAAAAAAATTGCGGCTCAAAACATGTTGGTTGGGAAAATTTGAAAAGGGCCGTTTCTTGCAGTATTCTTTCAAATTTTACCCCTGTTGAAAGGGTGCAGCCAAGAGGGCTTTAAGCGAAGTGGGATGTTTTTCTGCCTGGACCAGGGATCTTGTTCTTGAAGGAGCAGCAAAGTTAATCTGGGTCAGAACAAGCTTCCCCTCCCTTGCCTCGCTGTCCTTAAAATCTCTTGGTGAAGCGCTCATCCCTGGGAACTTTGCCATCCATTCCAGCAAAGCTGGATTTCATTTGATGACCCTGTGAATGAATAAATAAATGCATATTCATTTATTCATTTTGCTTCACCCTAGAGATTTCACCTAAATTGTTTATCTCCTTTCCCTCTGTTGGCCCAGGATGCTGCAGGAAACAAAGGGGTCTGCAAGCTGTGCCTTGCTGTTTCTAGCTGTGAAATTTACTTTTCTTTTTTGTTACACTTGGCTCCAGCACACAGCCCTGTGTGGATTTATGTGCCCAGCTCCCTTGGCACAGCTAGAGACCGGGGCTGTAAAACGCCAAATCTGATTGTCTCAACTGTGCCATTGCTGATGCTCTCCCGGGGGGATTTTTATTGTGATCTCCATTTTTGTCTCATTTATCGTGAAAGTGTATCACTGTAAATGCTTTTAGTTCACAGCATCAGCTCTGAGCCTCTTGGTTGGGAGTGGGGACCTCTGTTAGGTGCACCGTATCCGCAGGCGGACGTTACTCCCCTGGTCAAAGTGATGGCAGCAGAAAGGAGACAAGGAGCTTGGTGGTGTGGGGGTGTGCGTGGGGTATCCCCAAGCGAGCTAAGCCTCAGAGTCCCTCCAGCATCTTATAGCCTTAATTTTCCTCCCAGAGCTCCTAGCTAATCCCTTCTCCAGCCCAGCAGACAGGGCCGAGTGCAAGACTTGGTTTCGGCAGGATCGATTCAGGGCGATTCCAAGGAAGGGATCTGGATTTGCACTGACATAACCGAGAGAAGTGTCTGGATCAGCTCCGTGCAGACTGTGTCCTTGGTAAAACGAGGACGGTGGAGAGGGAGGTTCAGCTGAGGGCATAGTATTGTTGTTCGCTACCAGGGGTTTTCTCTCCCAACAGATGAGGAATGTTCCACCACTGAGCATCCCTACAAGAAGCCCTACATGGAAACTTCTCCAGCAGAAGAGGATCCTTTCTACAGGTCCAGTTACCCCCAGCAGCAGGGACTGAACACTTCATACAGGACTGAATCAGCCCAGCGCCAAGCATGTATGTATGCCAGCTCCGCTCCCCCCACGGACCCCGTGCCCAGCCTAGAAGACATCAGCTGTAACACGTGGCCGAGCGTGCCCTCCTACAGCAGTTGCACAGTGTCTGCCATGCAGCCGATGGACAGATTACCCTACCAGCATTTCTCTGCCCACTTCACCTCAGGGCCGCTGATGCCCCGGCTCAGCAGCGTGGCCAACCATACCTCCCCCCAAATAGGAGATACCCATAACATGTTTCAGCACCAAACCTCAGTTTCTCACCAACCCATCGTCCGGCAGTGTGGACCTCAAACCGGCATCCAGTCCCCCCCCAGCAGCCTACAGCCCGCAGAGTTCCTGTATTCCCACGGCGTGCCTCGAACCCTTTCGCCCCACCAGTACCACTCGGTCCACGGCGTGGGCATGGTGCCAGAGTGGAGCGAGAACAGCTAACGAGGCGGTCAGGAAAGTGCAAGAGCATTAGCCATGAGAAAAAAAAAAAAAAAAAGGGAAAAGGAAAAGGAAAAAATGCCCTGTCGAGAATAAAAGCGAGAGTATTTTGCAAGACTCCTTTAACTGAATGTTCACCGATAGCACTCGAGAGGGATGGACACTGATCGAAACCACAGATGAAATAGTCATCGGCCTCGGTGTGACTTGCCCCCCCCTTTTTCTTTTGTTTCAAAAGAAAAATCAACAGATCGGCACACTTGTCCCCCGCTACGGTCCCCACCCAGTTTGTGTTGCTGCCACCGCCAGCCCCGTGCCCTCGTCCCCCCGCTGCCCTCCTGCTCTTTTTGTTCTCCAGGGGACACGAAACTCCTGCTGCCTTTCTCAACACAGTCAGAGTGCTTGAACGAAAACAACTAGGATGTTACTTTTTTTTGTGGTGTTGATGTTAACAATGTTATATAATAAATAATAATATATATATTTTCTTTCAATTTTCTCAAAAAAAAAAAAAAAAGACACCAGCCCTTTTTACCAAGGGTGGATTTTTGGAGTGGTGTTTCTTTTTTTTTTTTATTAGTATTATTGTTGTTACTTTTCAACAGAAAGAGGTATTATGAACCCACAAGTAAGAAAAGCAGGTACCTACCTCGCCCAGAGTGAAACCGCTCCCTGCAGGGTGCCGTGTTTCCTTACAGACGCCCCAAAACACGTCTCTGCAGGAACCAGCCCCGTAAACTCATCTCCTTTCCCACTTGTGCGTAATTCTCTCGCTCTTCTTTCTTTCCCATCTCCCGGTCTTTCCCGGTCCATCCGCTGTCTCTGACGGAAGCGCAGGGTACCTTTCGAACTTGAAAACATCCACAGCGTGTCTCCTGCCGAATTTTTACCGGCATGCAGAAAGCGAGGCTCTGAGCCAGCTGCGAGGGGGAGGAAAGGCGGGGAGAGAGGATGCAGACAGTGAAAGGAAAAACTGTGCTCATAAAAATGATGATGGTGCTTGTTTGCAATCCCGGACTTGCATTTTATCGCGCGTTCTTTTTCTTCCTCTCAAAAAAAAAAAAAAAAAATAGAAAAAGGGATACTGGTCTGGGTATGTTAAGTGAGATATTAAGTAAACGCGTTTAAAAGGAGCAGAAAATGATCATGAGAGGCTGGGAGTGGGGGAGGCAAGAAGAGAAGAAAAAGCAAATGTGTGTAAGTAAAAATGTCTACTGCAGAATTTTTCAGGTGTAAAATTTCCTGGTACTATTTATTTATACATGGGAGTTCCAATAACTCATAGTATGTCGCAAAGCCAGCAAAGCAGCTGATTCAAAGGGGTTAAAATTTTTATTGAACCGGAATTTTGCTTTCTTTTCTTCTTTTTTTTTTCTCTCCAAGCTGTGCACACTCTATATAATTTACATATATTTTTAATTAAAAGTAATTCTAATTAACAAAAGAGGTATACCTGTGTGTCAGCAACTGAGAATGTGGGTGCGAATGCGTGGGAATGCCGGTATGTGCGTGGGAGGGATTATAGACAGGTATCCAAAGCCGTGTAGCTAAGAAAAAAAAAAAAAAAATCCCTACCTAGCTACGCTTTCCTATTCTTGTGTGCCAATTTATGTCTAATAAATACCACATGCTCTCAACGGCAAGGGACCTGCCCACCTTTTTTTTTTTTGTTTGTTTTGGGGTGGGTTTTTTTGGTTCTTTCTGCTCAATGTCTATAAGTTTGCTTTTTATTTATTTCTGGTGTACCACAGGAGGTACAGCGTCCCAACGGGGAAGGCTGTTAGGCAGTGATGGGCTGAGCTTCAGGCTGCTGTGTCTGGGACTGCGAGTCTCTCCGCTACAAAACTGTCTGGCTCCCCCAGGTCCTTCCCACCCAACTTGTCCCCAAGGGAGTTGCTCGCTTGGGGTCACTTTCCCATCGAGGCAGATTTAGAAGCGACCTTGGGAATCCAGGTGGGTGCTGGGGTGGCACCGGGAAACCCTCGTAGGCCCAGGGGAGGTGTGGGGCTGTGTCCCAGCTGCAGCGAAAGAGGGGAGGATGCTGGATGCTTCGCGGATTGGAAACAAGATGGGAAAATCAGCTCCCGAGAAATCAGGAGATTGCATCCGAGAAGCCCAGCAGAAAGGTCTCCTCCGTGTGGCTGGTGAACCACGGCCACCCCAGGGAGCAGCATGGCCAGGTCCTGGGAACGAACTGAGGAGGTGTCCCCAGACCGCCCCACCAGCAGCAGCTCGTCTGGCTGCAGCAGCGGCACTGCCAATGCATGGCCGGCAGCCTTGGTGGCCTCCTGGGCACCAGAGATCTAGGGACACCT